CAGAGCATGACTCATGGCTGGAGCCGCTTGCTGAGCTGCATTTGTTTATTTTTAGGTCAAAATTACACATAAAAGCCAAGTGCCAATGCTGCTGGGCCCTCCCCAGAAGAGCAGCTTCTTTTTCCTGAAGAGGAGAAACCGAACTCGAGATTAAGCTGGGTGAAATGAGCCGCAGCCCAAAGGCAACCAGACATCCTGGGCATCCTGTGGGCTGCAAACCTTCATCTCTGCACATCCTGACTCTTCTCCCTGCTTCACAAACACTGCGCTGGAAAGTGGGTGCAGGCTGTGCAGGGCAGGTCCTGCTGCAGGACCCGTGCTGAGGTGGGGAAGGATTCCAGCCCAGCCCACTCAGCCCAGCGGGATGCTCCGTCTCAGGAACGTTTGGGATCTCCTTCCCAGCTACCACAAGTATTTTCTCCAGCCAGGATCGGAGCGATGGGCAGCTTGGCGTGCAGGCGTGCTAGAACTGTTTTTTTTTCCCTTTATTTAAAGAACTACCCCCTTCCTGCCAGCAGAGCTGCAAACGAACGCATTCCTGAGAAAAAGCCGAGCTTCACTTATTTATTTTTAATCCTCCTGAAGGACACTTGGTGTTTTGCTGCACTGGCTTTCTTGTCCACCAGACCTGCACATCTGAGCAGTTATTTATTTCCTTAGCCTCGAGGACTCGGCTGCCCAACCCTCGCTTCCCTTGCTGCTCTCCAAGCAGGTTTCCATGCCTTCAGCTGGCTCTTCTGGCTTGCTTCAGAGCAGATGCAGACACAGCACTCGCTATTGGCTCTGAAGCACGATGCCACAGGGTGTGAAGTAGGCTGTGTGGGGACACAGCTCACCTGGGACAGGGGGCCAGGCTCAGGGCAGGCAGGAGAAGGCATCACTGGGAAGTGGGAACAGCCAGAGGGGATCCCAGTGGGGAGCTGCCAGCCCAGCTCTGTGTTTGGACCTCGCATCTGGATTTGTATTTATGTATTTATTGAACAAACTTCAAGGGGTCACTTCCCTCCTAATGGGATGACATTGGACACAAATGCCACCCCCATTTTGGCTGGCCATCCTTGTGGCAGTGCGCCTGGCGCGGGCTGCAGCCCCCAGCAACTCCATCCTCATTCTGTGCAGCTGCTGGGAGAGCGATGCAGCATTTCCCATCACCTAAAAGCTCCTCCAATTTGGAAGCATCGCCTTTTCATTCATCCCAGTGAGGACTCACTCTGCTTCAGATGCTGTTTTTTGGGTTGCCACAGGGAGCAATGTGAGCAGCCGGTCCTCGGGTTTGTTGCAGCCAGGTCTCTCCTTGACCCATCCCAAAGCCAAGGATGTGGCTTTGAAGCCCAGCTCCTCCCCCAGGAAACAGAGAAATGCATGACATGCCGTGAGCTGAACGCGTCCCCTGGCTCCGAATAGCTGAGAGCTGCCAGCAGTGAGCCCCAGGAAGGTTTGCTGATTTCTTCTGCTGCCACACACTGCCCCCCACCTTCTCATGGCCCTGCACAGAGGACCACGGCTTCAAAATCAGCCTCCTCCCCCTTCGGCAGCCCCCTCGGTATGCTCTGTTCTGCTGAGAGCAGCATTCCCCCAAGTGCAGAGCTGCTGCCGTCCTTAGGTTTCAGAGTGAACAGCACACTGAAAAGTGTTTGCCACCCCCCCAGGCACAGACACTGTAGGCAGCACCATTCAAGTGCAGCGACCTGCGCACTCCCTGCGGCACATAAATCCACCCTCCTCTGCTCCTCGCCAGGGGCAGCCATTAATGAGTAGCCAGGTGAAAGCTTATGGGATGGGTGCCAAAATAAACCCTGAAGTTCTCCTGAAACGGCACCCTCCGTTTCTCCCAGTCCCCTCCCTGATATTATCTGCAGACCTCAACACTGGCACCTGGGGAGGATTAAAACGAAACAAAACAACGACCTCAAAGCCTGCACCGCTCTGCTTGGGGCGCAGGATGACAAGACGTGAGGGCAGGGCAATTCATAGAGGCAGGTTTGGCTTCCTTTTGCTCCCCACTTAGTCTCAACCTGTTGTTTTGTGCTGTGACCATGGCAGAAGGTGTCTGTATGCAAGCAGCAGCATTTTTCTCCGCAGACTGATCCTTGCACCCGGTCATGGTTTGGTGGGCTCGTGCTTTGGGCAAAGATCAGTGCCAGGGCCATTCTGCTTGGCTTTAGCAGTAGTGATGGCAGAGCAGGGGGGCAGAGGTGGTTCAGGCTGCCAGGGCTGCTGCCTCCTCTGTGGGATGCAGCATGGATCATGCCAAAGGCATCGCACAACAGGACCTGCCGCTGGCAGCCACCTTAGCCCCAGGCTCCACCCTGGGGGGCTCACAGGGATCACGATAGCCGCCTGGCTATCTCACACCAGCCCCCATTTATACCCCCAAAGGCCATTGGATGGAGCTCCCAGCCTCCCCAGTTCAGGCTCTGTTCCCATCCTCCTGCTATGTCCGTAGCCGTGGTTGCCTGCATGGAAATAGCGTGGCGTCCGTAGCGTAGCTTGTGTTGCCGTGTACACCTGGCCTGCTGTGGGCTTGTGTCAAATAAAGGTGGTGATGAAGCACTCAGCTGGTCCTGAGCTTGGGGGTCCCCATTTCCCAGCCATTTTGGGGGCACAGGGAGATGTGCCCCTCTGTGAGCACACAGGTGACGGCGTTTTCAGCCACAGCAAGATGGAGCCATGTTTGGTAGGAGGCGCAACAGGCTAAATTTGGAACCTGCGATGTGTTGGTTGTTTTTTTCTTCCCCAAGTAGGCTCTAAATTTAGCAGGTGCCGGTCACCAGCCCCCTCCCAACCCTGTGTGTCCATGGCCGCTGGCTCATCCAAAGGCACCACAAGGAGACCCCACGGCAGTCGGCCTGTACCTTGGCTAGGGTCTGGCCAATTGACCCCAAAGGCAAAGGCAAGGCAGGGAGAGCCTCTACACCTCTCCTCTTCATCTGCAGCAGCCATCAGGTCTGACATGGGCTGTTTGTGTACCACTGCTGACACCCCACAGCCCCCTGTCCACCTGCCCAACCGTGCGTCATCTGCTAATTTTACTAGTGGTGATTTAATCCTCCTCACCCTTGTGCAAAGGGAAACACGAGAGTGCCAGCTCCTGCAGAGCCCCCCAGGAGCATCCCCAGTGGTAAGGACACCCTGTGCCCACCTCACGTGTCCCAGCAGCTTGTGAATGAGGCGTGATGGCAACTGCCCTGCTGTGCAACATGGGAGCCAAACTGCTCACAGAGACCAGCGTCAGCCCTGGGGATGCTGATAGCCCTGCAGCACTCTGCACTGGTACAACACCTCCTGAAAAATTAGTGGCACACTTCTGTAAGGCCACCTGCAAGCCTACAGCCTCCAGATTGCAAGTCTCCAAGGCACCCTCCCTGGATCCCAAGCTGTGCAAAACACTACTTGCTGAGCACTCTCTTTTAACCTACTCCATCAGGGATTTCCTGGGCCCTACAACTGTGAGGTTTGTGGATCCTGAACCATGGTAGCAGAGTGTCATATTCGCTGCTTACTTCTATAAACAGGGAAACTGAGGCAAGTAGCAGAGCCATGCCAGGTGCTGGGAAGTTCATGTCCCTGTGGCTATGTCCTGAGCTAATTCCTGGTCCTCTGAGCCACCTGCAATCCTATATGGGCTGTGCTGCAGGTCCTGCTGGGGGGCCCTGAGGGTCTGTCCAGGGGTATGATTCCAGCCCACCTGCAAGCCTCCTCCTCCTCCCTGTGCCCCGTTCCATCCCCTCACACTTCTACTCTGCCTTCCAGCCCCCGCTATCACCATCCCCCCACAGCCACTTGGGAAACCTGCAGCAACCCCTTCCCACCATTCAAATTCCTATGCAGATGGGAATCTCTTCCCACAGCCTCCTCTAAAGAGCCCTTTGAGGGCTACGAGGCGCGCAGGGGTCAAACAACATAGCGGCCGCTTGGGCTAGCTCAACTCGGGGTCCCGAAGAGGAAGGAGCCCGAAGACCCCACCAATACCACCCATGTGCACCGCAACTGCATGAAGCCCGAAGGCCCCCTCACCCTCCTGCCTGGCTCTGCAGTGAGCGCTCTGCAGGACGCTGTACGTTCCTCATGAAGCTCCCAGGCTGGCCCAGCACCCCCCTTAGCTGCCCTTGAGCTTCCTACCCAACCCCCTCCTGCGGAGGGCCGCGGCCACTTTAAATCCTGCACTGCCCCCGCCCCACCCGCCGGCCTCTTTCCCTTCTATTTTTTTATGAATGAAAAACGCTCTCGGCGGAGCCATGCAAATCGGTCGGCGCCCATTGGCTGCCTTCCCCCCTCCCACCCCGCCGTTCTCAATGGTGCCCCGCGGAGCGGCGCGGGGGGGCGGGCCCTCGGGCGGCGCCTCGACCAATCGGCAGGCGCTGGCGGCCGGCTGCCGGCTCCCCATTGGGCGGCGCCGAGGGTAAACAAGCGGCGCTGGGCGTGGCGTGGCGGGGGCTGCTGGCTCGGGAGCTGCGGGCCGGCGCAGAGCGGCAGCGCGGTGCCCGGCTCGGAGCTGCGCCGTCCCGGCACGCCCGGCCCCGCTCCCGGCCTGCAGCGGGTGAGCCCGCGGTGCTCCGCCGTCCGCGCGGGGTCTGGCGGCTCGATGCGGCTCGGTGTGGCGCGGCCCGGGGCGGGGGCGGTGCTTATGAATGGCGCGGGCCGCGCGGTGTGAATGGCGGGGGGCGCGCGCGAGCGAGGGCGCGCGCGCGGGAGGGGGAGGGAGTGAATGAGGAGGAGGAGGGGGGGGAGGAGTTTATGAATGGGGCGCGCGGGGCGGCGTGGGAACGGGCCCGGCTGCGGCCCCGCGGCGCTGAGCAGCGGCACGGACGGAGGGGAGCGGGAGAGCGGCGGGGACGGGGCCGCTTCCTCCCCGCGTGATGTCACGGCTGTTTCTATAGAAATTCGGTGGCATCACGGCCCGGGGGGCCGCGACTCGCTGCGGGTCCCGCACCGGCACCCAGCCAGCCCTGAAGGGACCCGATTCTGATCCTGCCGTTGCCTCTCGCCCCGCAGCCTCGCATCTTGCCGGAGCCCAGGCGGGAGCCCCCTCCCGGGCCGCCGTCGATGCTGAGCGTGCCGGGGGCACTGCTCGCCTCCCTGCACCATGGATGGCTTCTACGACCAGCAGGTCCCCTTCATGGGCCCTGGGGTAAGTCTGCCTAAAGCCTCCTCGAGTCCTTGAAACACCTGCTTGTGATCCTTTGAGGACACCTGCCTCCTCTTGGGTCCCTTTGGGCTGCCCCTCCCTTTTGTCCCCATTGTGGACACCCCCTTCGGGGCAGGCACTTTCTGTTAGTCCACTTTGGGGCATGCCTCACCCCTCGTCTTTGAGGCACTTCTTGGGCTCCCCCATCTTTTTGGGGGCTGCCACCCTCACACCGTGGCTGTTGCAGAAATCCTGTGCCGAGGAGGGCCGAGGCCGGTTGGGCTCCGAGAGGAAAAGGAAGTTTTTGGAGACCGACCTGGCCCACGACTCGGAAGGTAGGCAGCACTGCAGGCCCCTGTGGGTCCGCTCCCCTTGGGGTCAGCCTGCAAATAGCAGCATGTTTGGTCAGTGTTCTGTGGATGCATAAACCTCTCGCTGTGTTCCAGAGCTCTTCCAGGATCTCAGCCAGCTGCAGGAGGCCTGGCTAGCTGAAGGCAAGTCCTGATCTCTGCTTTTTGCCATGTGAAATCTCATCATGTGCATTTTTTTGAGAGCTGAAAATGCTATAAAAATACTCTTTTTTTCTTCTTTTTTTTTCTTCAGCTCAGGTCCCCGACGATGAACAGTTTGTCCCAGATTTCCAGTCTGATAACCGTAAGTAACCATCCCGGCGTTTGCTCTGTGGGGTGGAAGCGTTTGGGGCACTGCATGCAACAGTGTAGGACCCCTTCCCTGGGAAAGAGACCAGCACCAAACCCCTGAGGCCTCGAGACCCTCGGGCTTTGGAGAGGGAGCACGTGTGGGTCTGTGCAGCTGGGGCTCAGTGTCCTGTGTCTCATAAATGGGTAAATCTGGGCCAAACGGTGGGAAGGGTCTCTGCCTGAGCCCTGGGCTCCCCTTCGTAGTGGCGTCAATTTGCTCCAAAATGCTGCTTTTCCTTTTCAAGTGGAAGTGAGAGCTCGTGCTGGGCTTGTCGGTTAGCCACAATCTCTGCACTCCTGCAGCTTTTTCCAGTCCTGGCCTCGTGCTGCTGGCGAGAGCCGACCCAAGCGGTGAAACTTGAGCTGCTTTAAGCAGCATTAATCTCTGGCAAGCGAGCGTGTTTAAAAGGAGGCCAGTGAAAATGCAGTCCCTCTTGAATTGCATAATAGAGAGAGAGTTGTTTCTTAGCCGTGGTTCACTGCCCGAGCCAGGGGCTGCTGCACAGCTAATGGTGCACCGTGCGTGTGCGGAGAGCTCTGGCATTAATTCTCAGATGGGGATGGGGGCTTTGAGTTGTTACCTGGAGAACGCGAGGAGCAGCCCGGTGCTGGGTTTGCAGCTCAGGCAGACAGCTAGAGAACTTGAAGGAAATCAAATTTAGCCTGCAGTCGAACAGATTTTTCATTCCAGCTTTGTCACAGCATGCATCAGAGTATCTTATACTACAGTAAATGCATGTTAATTATTGCTCTTTGATTACTTCTGAATGGGAAGCTTGCCATTAAACTGTTCCAGACAGCCTGGGCTTCAGATGCGCCTTTTTTCCCCCTTTCTCCCCCGAGATAAAAGGCAGAGCCCCGAGGCAGAGCCGCAGCCGCTGCTGCCATCCGCGCTCAGCCCAGCAGCTCCCGCTTGGAGCGGCACAAACTGCAGCGTGCGTGGGAGGCTGGCTGCGGAGCAGAGCTGCTTCCAGAGCCTTTTGGCAGCCGCCGGCTTCCTTGTAACCTGAACGGCTCAGGGAGAAGAGAGACAAACTTCTCTGGGTGATGCAGGGGGGGAAAAAGCATTTGGTCGAGGCTTTTAGTGAGCTCCTGCCTGGCTCAGCCTGTGCGGCCCGGTGTCACTGGGGTCAAAACAATTTTGTCACCTGAAGGGTGATGTTCCTGCGTGACTTCCTGCCGTAATAACCTTCCTGGGGAGATGAAGCAAAGGTCTCCTCGCTGGCTGGGGTGTTTGACCCCAGAGTTTCCAGCGATGGCAGCTGCTGAGGGGGCATGATGGGATGGGTGGCACCCAGCTCGATCCCAGTGTCCCTGTGCACTGCACTGAGTGTCGGTGACACGCATCGTTCCCACCTTGCCGAGAGCCCTGGTGGTTTGCAAGCTGCCTGCAGCACGGCTGATAAAACTCTCGTGGGTCACAATGTCATGGCAGAAGTTGGGTTTGGCAGCTCGCAGACAGGTGTTGGCCAACACATGGCACGTGTCTCCTGTCCTCCTGCCTGGCCCTGGGGAGGAGGGCATGTGCCCAGCACTTTATCTGGGGCAGTTGTTTACATAGGCGCAGGGTGATAGGACTGTGCTGGGGACAGCGAGCGCTGGGGGTGGGAACGTGTAGGGTCCTTTTTTTGGTAGGGAGGAGTGTTGTTCCCTGGGGAATCGTGTTCCCCCACATGGATGGTTCGCAGCAAAGGCGATGAGCAGGCTTTTTTTTTTTTTTTGGCTTTTTTTTTTAGACACCCAAATGAAGGCAGGAGGTTTGTTTCTGAGGAAGGAGCGCTTAAACAAAGGAAAGCAGGAGCACGGCTTCTATTTCTGGCTCCTCTCCTGGTGTGACCTTGGGTGCGTCCTGTGCCGGGGGGACAGAGGGGCTGGCAGGGAGCTGGTGCCCAGGTGACGGCCGCGGCGGTGCCAAGGTCCCCAGCTGGTGCCTGTGTCGGAGCGGTGTTTGGGGCATGAAGCTGCAGCCTCCAGGCTTGTCACGTGCCATCCAGATTGGGGCTCAGGATTCAAAGCCCCAAAAGGTTTTGGGGTGTCCCTTTCCCTGCAGGAGCTGTCAGCTATTAGGTGGCATCTGGGGGCCGGCCTGGCTGGAGATGCGATGCTGTTCCCCCCCCCCCGGGCTCTGCCTGTCCTATGGGACCAACGCAGCCCACCGAAGGCCATTGTGGGTGCTCCCCCTACCCCCTCCACGTGGCCCCTGCAGGGCCGTGCTCAGGTTGCCCAGCCCCCAGAGGCAGCGTGGTTTGGTGCTTCCCCCAGCAGCCGCTGGCGGTTATTTTTCTTTCTCCTGACTCTCGCCAAAGAGCTTTCCGGCCTCACCACCTTGCACAATCGCTCTGCTTTGAATGAACTTGGCGGAAAGGCCGAGCTGGGAGCGCAGCGCACCCGGCCCCGTGCTGTTTGTGTAAGGAATTCAAACGTTGCACAAAGTCCAGGCTTCTTTGCGAGGACAGCTGGTCTCTGTTATGATCTTAAGTATCGTTTCCCTTTTCTTGAATGGCAGCACTAAGCTCTGGGGAAATTTTTCTTTCTTTTTCTTTTTTTCTTTCTTTTTCTTTTCTTTTTTTTCCCCCTTCCAACCGCATGAATGGAGCGCTCCAAATTGTTTGTGAATGGAGGGTGGTGCCCGCTCAGAGACTTTTTTCAATGAATAACCAGACCCCATTGTGCGGCTGGCGGAAAAACAACCCGCTTGAACAACACGGAGACTGTTAGAGAGAAACATGCCCGTGATCGGCAGCTGGAGCCCTTCCAAAGTGCCTTCCCCTTTGCTTTCTTGCGGCGTCGCAGCCTCCACACCGGCCCAAAATGCACGCAAGGAGAGCACAGGGGGAGCAGATCTGGCTCCGGGGAGGCTCCAGGCAGCGCAGGGGCTGTGCTTGCTCAGCCCGGGCTTCGTGTTTCAAATGCTCCTTTGGGTTTTTCTTGCCCTTGGTACCAGCTGTGCTGGGCTACGGCCGGGGGGGAGTGAGGGGGGAGTCAGCAGCTCTTTAAAGGGTTTGACAAATTAGGGGAGCAGCTAATTACCTGGCAAGCTGTGAACAGTTGTCCTGGAGCTATTTGCTCCCCTCTGGTGTAGCTGGGCTGTGTTTAGACTTTGCATGAAGCTAATACTCCACTTCCGATTAGTGTTGGCTCTCCCGCTCAGGCGTGATTTAGGTAAAGATCTCTGACGTGCTTTCCCTTTCCTAGAGCACCCGCTTTTAGAAATTAAAGAGGTTAAGCATATATTACTCGGTTTAAAATGTATATATAGTGAACAGGCTTGGAGCTGGGAAGGCTTTGGGTTTAATGGGCTGTTTGCCCCTTGAACTCGTACAGTCATGGCTCCCATCCCCAGTGGTCCCGGCACTGAGCACAGGACACGTGGTGCTGGTTGCTGCTCACCACTTCTGGCTGGCTAATTTGGGGCTGCGTGCAGGCAAGCATGTAGAGGCTTCCATAGATGTGAGTCTGGATATGCTCAGGGAAAGGTCCGTGTGTGGCAAAGGGCGGCACAGCTGGGCTCATAGCTGCTTTGCAGGGGCTGGTCCATGCACACAGGGATCACCCACATCCCTGTCACAGCCCGTGCTCTGCCCCCACGCATCATGAGAGGAGAGCAGTTCCCCTCTGCAGGTGATACCCAGGTGTCCCTATAGTCCTTGCTGAGGACTTTTTGTGCTGTTGTGTTTCTCTGGTGCTCCCGTGGAGGGGATCAGCTCCTGGTTTCCAAAAGGGAGCACCCACACAGCTGTTCCCCAGATCTGTCTGTGCCTATGGCCTGCTCCCACGCAGCTCAGAGTCACGGCTGGAAGTCAGTGGTGCCCATGTCTTCCTCCTCCTCCTTCTTGTTGCAGTGGTCCTGCACGCCCCACCTCCAGCCAAGATCAAGCGGGAGCTGCACAGCCCTTCCTCAGAGCTGTCGGCCTGCAGCCACGAGCAGGCTCTCTGTGCCAGCTATGGAGACAAGTGCCTCTACAACTGCTGGTACGTCCCTGCGAGCCCCGTTCTGACATCCTCTCTTTGGAAGCTGGGTGATGGGGAGCGTTCCATGTCAGCAGTCAAAGCACCGGTGCTAGAAGGAGTTTGGGGTCCCCTGTCTGGCTAGTCGGAGCCCCTTGCAGGTGGTCACACCACGAGGGCTGTTTCCTGATGCCAGTGGTAGCGGTGGCCATGTCACAGGCTCTTGTCTCATGCGTCAGTCTCCTCCGCACCCTGCTTTCCCTGGGGCCCACAGCTGTCTGACCGCGTTAGCGTTGCCTTGCCCTCAGCCCCCATCCCCTCTCCTCACTGCAGTGCCTACGACAGGAAGCCCCCCGCCGGGTTCAAGCCATTAACACCGCCCGCCACGCCGGTGTCCCCCGCGCAGCCGGGTTCATCCCTGCCACCGCCGCCGGCCCCAGGGGTGCAGGCAGCTGCCCATGGCGGCCCAGCTGCCCCACTACGCAGCACGGCGCCGGCACCACACCTGCTGCAGGAGCAGAGACAGCAAACCTTCGCCGTGCCGCGGCCGCCCCACCCGCCCGTGCACATGCCAAAGATGATGTCCGAAAACCAGTACCCCACAGAGCACAGGTAAGGCTCGGTGGCCTCCAGAGGTGGGGACATAGGTGGGACACTTGTTGCTTTTTGCTGGGGCTGCAATGAGTGCGAACCCCAGCACCTCTTCTGGGCTCGTGGGGATGGTGCTCCCTATGGGAGGGATGGATGCAGCGCACAGGGAAGGTCAGGCTGCGTCCCTTCCTGGCACAGCAGCCAACTCCGGTACAGAGCTCGGTTCTGGGCGACCTTGGAGCTATGCGGGGGACTGGCTGCGACCCATCTGGAAGTGCCATACCAGCACGGGGCTTGGGTTTCACTCAGGAAGGGCAGGGGGACGCGGGTCGGAAATGGAGTAATCCCAGCCCGTCAGCTGGGAGGGATCTGGTTACAAAGCTGAGCAGCGCTCAGCGGCCCCGAAAGGAGCGGGCGCCCGGAGATCGCCTTTCACGGTGCTGCACTGTGCAGGGGTCGGCAGCACCCCTCAGCCCACTCCCATACCCCGTGCAGCACCGAGCCTCGTGGGAGGGCACCGGCCCCTCGCTCCCAAAATAGTGCTGTCCGTACCCAGTTCAAGGTTTAATCCTGGGCAGATTAGTGGCCAACTGGCTGTGCGGCGCAGCAGAGGGGATTTGGCTTTGCGTCAGCACCTGCCCCGTTGCAGTGGCCCTGGGCCCCAAGCAGCACTGCCTCACCTGCTTTAAGCTGGCTCAATTTTTATCTTACAGCATTGGTTTTGTTGTTGTTTTTTTTTTCCCCATGCTTACCCCAACATCCCATAGGTTCTTGCCTTATGCAAGGTGGATCTCCATCCCTTGGCCTGGGGGACCAAGCACCCTGACAGGTTCAAACCCAGGTGATGGCCATGCGCTGTGTCCCAAATGGGGACACGTAGCACTGGCTGAGCTCATGGTTGCCCCTGGTGACACCGTGTCCCTTTTTCTGCAGGTTCCAGAGGCAGATGTCTGAGCCCTGCCACCCCTTCCCACCACAGCCCGGCGTTCCTGGGGACAGCCGCCCCGTCTACCACCGGCAGCTGTCAGAACCTGTTGGCCCCGCTGCCCCCCACCCCGCTCAGGGATTCAAACAGGAGTACCACGACCCGCTCTATGAGCATGCCGGCCCCAGCCTGCCCGGCCCCCCTGGGCACGGCTTCCAGTCCCCCATGGGCATCAAGCAGGAGCCCCGGGACTACTGCATCGACTCAGGTAGGTGAGGAGCAGGACGGACATACTGACATACTGGGGCCTGGGTTCATCCCACTGCAGCTCCTTGTGGCTGGCGCCGGACTCCACGAGCATCACGGAAAATCCTCTAAGCGCCTTAGGGCCTAAAAATACCACAGCCTTGGGCTGGGGGTGGCTGGTTCAGTGCAGCCGAGCAGATGGCTAGGAGGGAAGGGAGGCGGCCAAAAGCCTGGTGCTGGTGATGGGCAATTGCTGCCTCCCATCATGTGTGGCCTAAATAACATGGTGAAAAGCCGGTTTCAGCCGCACTACACACAGTTGTATGAGTGAGTTCCAGTGCTGTAAATTGTACCACTTTTCCTTAGAGGTGGGAGTGGGGCTGTGCAGCACGTCGGGTGGAATAGGGCAGCCTGGGGAGGTACATGGGGTTGTGCTTGGGGATGAGGATGCACCAGGCTTATGGCTGCCTCTGTTTCCCTTTCAGAAGTGCCTAACTGCCAGTCCTCATACGTGAGAGGGGGCCTCTTCCCCAGCAGCCATGATGGTGAGAAGCGTGGGATGGAGCCTGCTAGCATGGCCCTTCCTATCCTATCCCCTCCCTCCTTCCCCTGGCAGCTTTGCTCCACACCGGGGGCTCTCCCTGCTCCCAGCCTCTCCCTTCAGACATGGGAATGATGTGCCACCCTGTATAATCTGAGATAACCACCTGAAATAGCTGCTAAGAGGGCTTTGGCCATCCCGGATCCTGGGGTGAGGGGAGGACAGAGCCATGTCTCAGCAAGGCCCATGGCAGAGGAATGGGTACCTGGGGAGGGGGCTGCTCACAGCAGGCTGTTGTTCCCTTTAGGATTTTCATATGAAAAAGACACACGATTGTATTTCGACGACACGTGCGTGGTACCAGAAAGACTGGAGGGTAAGCAAGGGTCTGGTGGGGGGCACGCTTGGGCTCAGAGCGGGCACGAGCTGGACCTGAGGTCTGCTGCTGCCCTTGGGTCCTGTGTGGCTGAATGGCCATCTCACCACAGGTAAGGTGAAGCAGGAGCCCACCCTGTACCGCGAGGGCCCTCCCTACCAGCGGCGCGGGTCGCTGCAGCTCTGGCAGTTCCTCGTCACGCTCCTGGATGACCCTGCCAACGCGCACTTCATCGCCTGGACTGGCCGTGGCATGGAGTTCAAGCTGATCGAGCCCGAGGAGGTACGGGTTGGGTACGAGGCCATTCCCTCCTGTGCAGGTGGCGTGGAGGAAGTAGCCAAGCAAGTGAGAGCAGCTGTGGTTGTTACCCATAATATCTCCAACACTGTGCATGGAAATTGTGGTTTGGAAGCAAATTTTGGCATGCTCCCCTCATCAGATGCCTTTCGATTAGGCCTTCAGCTCCGTGTGGGCTGCGCTGCAGCAATCCAATGAGATTTGGAAGGGACGGAGGGGATGGGGGAACACTGTGGTGGTGTGAGCAGTGCCCTGGGGCTGGCAGAGTGCTTGTGTGGTTTGGCTTGTTTGAGGCACCCGTGCCTGAACACAGCTTTTCATCCCCTGCAGGTAGCACGGCGCTGGGGCATCCAGAAGAACCGGCCGGCCATGAACTATGACAAGCTGAGCCGCTCCCTGCGCTACTACTATGAGAAGGGCATCATGCAGAAGGCACGCAGCCCTGCACCCGTTTTGGGCACCCTCAATGTCACCCCAGCACACAGCACCATGGGGTGACCCTGCCGTCACTCCAGTCGAGCTCCTCATTCCCCAAGCTCACGCTCTCTCTGCTTGCAGGTGGCCGGCGAGCGGTACGTCTACAAGTTCGTGTGTGACCCCGATGCCCTCTTCTCCATGGCATACCCCGACAATCAGCGTCCCTTCCTGAAAGCAGAGCCCGACTGCCACGTGAGCGAGGAGGACACCCTGCCGCTGACGCACTTTGAGGACAGCCCTGCCTACCTGCTGGAGGTGGAGCACTGCGGCAGCCTGCCCTACGCGGAGGGCTTTGCCTACTGATGGCCGGCTGGCGGAGCGACCAGCGCTAGCACGCACGTCTGCTGCGGGCCAATAAGGGCAAAGGTTTTGTAAAGGGTATTTTTTGCCATTTCTTTTAAAAACGAAACACAACAAAAAAAACAAAACAAAAAAGGAAAAAAAAACAAACAAAAAACAAAAAAACGCGTGCGCGCACACAAACTGGCCTTTACCTTTAAGCGCAATTGGAGGAATCTAAAATGCCCAGTGTGTGTCAGCGCTGAGCTTGCAACCTTACTGTCCAAGGGCTAGTGCATAGGACTGCCCGAGGCTGGCGCCGAGCGTCCCACGGCTGTGTTGGGGAGCTGGGAGCTAAGCACCAAGTCTCTGACCCTGGCCACGCTTCTCGCGAGCATGCGATGGCTGATGGCTTCAGCAGCGCCTGTGGGACTGGTCTAGACGGTGTGACTGTAGCGAATTGTCACGACAATCTGCTTTGCATCGATCACGATACGCGTAGCTGCCTTGTGTGTTGGAAAGGGCTTTGATTTGCACAGACGAGGGGGTGTCGGGGGGCTCGGTGCCCCCGGGGCTGATGTGTGCGGCGTCCCACCCCAAGCTGGAGGAGCCTTCTGCCTTCTTCCCAGACACAACCTCCCCGTCCCTCCTTGTTCCCGGCAAGCATTACTCTCCCATTTAACAATTTGTCAGCCTGCTCCACTCCTTTCCACATCCCCCATCACTTCTCCCCAGCTCAGGCTGTATGCGATGGGTTTAATTTCACAGGAGGGGGGCTGCTGTGATGCTATCTCCCTCTTTTTTTTTTTTTCTTTCTTTTTTGGGGGGGAGATATGGGGGTGGGTTTTTGGGGGAAAAAGAAAACATTTCTAACTGATTTTTGTAGATTATTTTGTATTTTAAGGCAAAGCTATTTTCTGCAGCCCAGCTGCTGTGCCGATGCCCCTGCGGCTCACCAGGCTGCCTGCCGAAGTACCTGGTCCACTCCATTTCACTGCTCACATCCCTGTCCCAGGGGCTCTGCTCCCCTCTGTGCATAACAGGGCCAGGCTGGAGTCCCTTCTTCCCTTTGGCCCCTGCCCACCACAACTCCCTACACTCCTCCACCTCTCATATATATGCCCCTGCCTCCCCCCCACCCCTAATGGCTACATGTTTTTGTTGTAAATGCTGTATAGGAATTTTTTTTCTCATCCTTAGTTAGCTTTGTTTGGATTTTTTTTTTTTTTTTTTTTTCCAGTTGTTTTTTTTTGGGGGGGTTTTATTTTGTTGGGTGTCTTTCCTCTTTTTTTTTTTTTTTGGTTGGTTGTTTTTGGACTGATTCATTCTTTTTTGGGGGAAGTATGAAGATTAACCCTTGCAGGCTGGCTGGCTGTCCCTACAGTGTGCAGCGTGCCCAGTGCCGTCAGGAAGCGGTGACTGCAGGCACTGTGCCTTGGGGATGGCTAGGAACATTTGCTCAGTGCAGAGGGGGTTAAATCTGAGGACTGACTGAAATAACCTTTACTCAAGCAGGGCTATGTATCTCCTGCAAATCCGCATTACGTTCTGTACTGTGTACAATAAAGAATCTTGCTTTCTGTTCCTCCCAGGCTGTGCTTTGTGTGTGCTGCCAGATGCTATATCGGGGGGTTTTCTGAGGGGCAGATGGCAAGCTGGGGGCTTCTTGCCCTGCTTTGGGGTAACATGGAGTCTGTACCTGCCTGCTCGCTCCCATCTTCAGGACTTGCTAGGCTTCTACAGAGCTGTGTCTGGCATGAGGATCCACTCTGATGGGGACTGTTTGTCCCCAGGGTGGTGCAACTTAATATTGCTGCTCCTGAGCAGTAGGTACAGCAGTATCTGCCCCCTTCACTCACCTCTGGAAACCTGAGACACCACCAAGGGCACTGGAAGCTGGAGCACAGCTCTCAGCAGTGGTTTTCCTCAGGATTTTAACAGCCAGCAAGCTAAATAAGCTACACCACGTAACTTAACCTTGGGCTGTCTGTATGGGGTTGTACCATGAGGACTTGACTTGAGTGAAAGGATGTTATCACTACACCAGGCTGGAGAAAAGCTCAAAGGTGCCGGGAGTGCTGCATCATCCCTGCTGGCATCACCTGGATGCCTTGTGGCAACCAGCTGTGTTTTGGCAAGCGAGCTCACTATGAAAGCCCCAAAAATGCTCAGGTGTGCATCCTGGGAAGGAGCAGTGAGAGAACAGTGCAGCAGCACATTCCCCACTGTGCCAGCATTTTGGGAAGAAATGGCCTTGTGGCAAAAACGTAGCTCCCAGCAGTCTGGATGGGGGTGATTTTCCAAGTGCATTCTTTATCTAAGGATACACACACACATACAGGCTCACATCCTTTCTGCCAGGCCTCATGCTGAAAAGCTCAGCTCCATACACTGATGCCCAGTAATCCCATTTTGATGGGAATTGCAGCAGACCAAGTACCAGCGCTGAGGGCAAAGCAGTGGAAAACCAGGGCAGTGGCAGCCAGCAAGCAGGTGGCCCTGGGGTGGTGGGACCCAAACCTGGGGAACAGTGAGACAAGCAACCTGTGTGTCATGATGCAACCCCCAGGAAGACCCTCCCATAACTCCTTGTTCCTTCATCAGCTGCAGGTTGGGATGTATCAAGGCAGGATGGAAGGGTGTGAAGCCTCTGATGGTTTGACACCACATTGGTTTTTAATTACTCAGAGCATCAAGAATTTGCCCCTTGAATTTGCAGGTCCTTGGGACCAATGTCTTTCTCCTCCACCTCATTGGACCACCTGCCTCCTGTTGATAAAAGAGCTTGGTTTCACCAGACACATAGCTCAAAAGCTGCTCAGATGTAAGGCATATATTCATAATTGCCTGGAAAAGTGGAGATCACAAAGAGGAGAACATCACCACAGCCCTACACACATACATAATTTACCAAATACATCTCTGCTCTCCTTACCTCAGGATGTAGCTAGGCTGGAAATTGTTCAAAAAGCAATGGATAGCCAAAGGTCTGCCTGGCTTTTGAAGGGGAGCGTATAAATAGACCAGCATTTCCATCTGCAACCTGAGTTGTGGCTTGGGGACTTCATATTTAATAGCCCACAGTGGAGTTTTCCATCCCTGATTGGAAGAGCATTAGTGGGAAGCACAGCTGACACTGCCTTGGGGATCCCCCATCTCCCAGCTGCAATGGCACTGTGCAGACCTGTAGCACAGAGCACGCAGAAGAATCTGGGGAGCACAAGCACGGTTGTTTGTGCCCAGGCTCCTGGTGCTCATCTCCATGCCCTGCCAGGTACACGGAGCAGATCTCGGGGGGAAAAAAACAAAACAAAACCACACACTCCTCTTCTTGCACTCTGTCAGGAGGAAAGCAGGGGCTGCACGGCTGCCTCTGAGCTCTCTGGTGCTGAGCTTCCACCCACTCACATCGCAATAAGCCACTAAGTGGCTTTTGAAACCATTAGGCAGCTGCTGCACGCAGGGCGCTCTGTGCTGCACGGGATGCGCCGTCATCCTGCAGACCCTGAGCAGGCACATTTTGGAGAGGCCAACACGAGGAGCATCTCTGGGATGTGACATTTTTCTCTCTACGTGGGAAAGCTCAGGAAAAGTCTGAAAAGGGCACTGAAACACAAAATGAGGCACCAGGGTGGGGAGGAAGGAGGTAGTGGGGCAGCGGTGGGGATGAGGCCATGCTGTGCTCATGGGGCACAGGCCAGCCGGGTACCAGCTTGCAAGAATCCCTTTTGGGAAATGGACCCAGGCTTGCAGGATTCTCTTTTGGGAAATCTCGGTTTCTTGGCACTGTCAGAGCCAGGAGAGGGCAGCAGCAGCCCAGGCTGCAGGTCAGATTCCCGTCCCAACACAGCACTTATTTTTTTCCTCCAAGAAAGCCACAAAATAAAAAATCAACACATCTAGGCAGCAAGCAGAAGGCAAAAACCTGCTGGGCAGAGCAATGGTACTCATTTGATGCTCAAGATTGTTTGCTTTCTTTGTGGAAGAGGGAAAAAAGATCATTATTTGAAATCAATTTGGAGATATGAGATACCCATAGCGATTTTTCAGACTTCTGAAGCTAAAGCAGCTCTAAAGATATCACTCAGAGCACTGCACATTGACACACGGGCACTGTGTTTCAATCCTGGCTTTTCCATACAGCCTTGCCATCAGTTGGGCTCAACTGACTTCTTTACCTTCACTCCCTCTAAAAATCACAGCAAAGCAAAAACTGTGGCTTACTGACACCACTGTTCTGAAATGAGTCATTAGAAAGGAGTCTTTCCAGACACATCCTGGTTGTGTGTCTCTAAATATAATGACATAAGAGAACAGCTTGCAGCTCATTAGGCTTCAGCCTGCATGCACTTGGGTTCTGCTCTACACCCACCTCATCTGCCAGGTGGGCAACCAGTCCTCTCCACCCCATGCTTGGATGGGGGCCCTGTCAGCTGGCTCTGATACCTTTCTTTTGCTGTACCTCCCACCAGCACCTCCTGCAGTTCTCCATCTGGCATGGAGCAGGTTTGCTGGGGGGGGAAGTTGCCAAGGGCATCCACACTTCCTATTGCATACATTGGAAGTACCTCTACGAGCTTTGGGATGCAAAGGAACTAGGCTGATGAATGAAATGGTCTTCAGTGCTTGCCTAGAGAGGTTCTAGATGCCCTGTCCTTGAAGGCATTCAAGGTCAAGTTGGATTGGACCCTAGGCAGCCTGATTTAGCAGATGGAAACCCAGCCCAGGGCAGGGGAGTGTGGAGCCAGATGATCTTTAAGGTCCCTTCCAACCCAACCATTCTCTGACTATGATCTAGCTTTCATCTGGAACCCCACCAACAGGCTAGGTGTCACCTCCTCCATCCATCCATCCATTGTTCTTTCTTACCACAGCACCATGGGCTGAGGAAGGAAGCAGCATGGCTGCCTCTAAACTCTCCCCAGCTAGCACTGCACTCACACCATCTGTTAGGTGGCACTGCCAGGATCGCAACCAGGCTGCAGAACCTACAAGGGCCACAAGATGCATCCACCATAGACCCCACTTTTCTTTTTCCCTGAGAGGATGCCAAGTTTCTTAAGGTTACCAAGTCAAAGGGAACTTTGTATTCTTGCCACTGATGCATGAAATTTGCATTACTACCATCACTTTGAACTTCTCCTTCCCAGCACACTGGTTTTCAGTTTCCTTCTGAAGTCAGAGAAGACAGCCAGATACAGGGCTCACAGAATCACACTTGCAACACCACAGCACGACAGAAAGCACAGCAACATAGTAGCAAAGTTCCAGGCAGCAGCAAAGTAAGGATATACTCAAATACAACGGTTCTAGACACAGAAACAAAAGAAATAACCTGCTTACCTTTAGAAGGCCTCAGGTGGGCAGAGATCTCCAGCAAGATACCCTCACCTCCTCTACCAGCCCTTAAATGAGGTCTGGGTGGGGGTTGGTCCTGGCTCCATCCCTTCCAATCACTCAGGTACACTGCATGCACCTGAGCTCCCCTGGGTTGGCCCTGCCTTCCACCAGGTGCTCAATCACTGCTTCAGGCCATGACTTAGCATTTCTGCCACAGTGCCCTACAAGCAGGGCACACGTGAAGCATGAGACACCCCACACACAGCTTCCCACAAGCTGAGCTTTGTGTTGACATCAGCTTTTGGACAGGAGCAGGTGTGGATGCAACTGAGACTTATTAGCTTCACCTTTTTTCTTTGTAAATGAGAGTTTTCATCCCCCAGGTGAGAGGATTTGACAAGATCTAGCTGGATGGTCTGATAATTTTATTTTTTTTTTTTTAACTTGAAAACTGCTGATTTTTTGCAGCACTGTTG